GGTCAGGGAAGTCTCTCACAGATAAATATGTAAATGAGATCTCAGTTGCCTCCAGGAGCTGTGTGTGTATGGTAGTGGGAGGTCAAAGGGTGACTGTCAAAGGGGCAGTCAGTGTCAAAGATCTGGGGCAGGGAGAGCTTACTGGCCAGCAGGGTATTTATTACCTTGATAGAGGATTTTGAAAATCAGAGGAAGGAGTTTGCATTTTATTCCAAATATCATGGCAAGCCATCAAGGCTTTAAGGAGGGCAGCGATAGGACTGGTTTCTGATGGTAACGTGGAAAGGGGAAAGTGGTCACCAGAAGGGACCATGACCCCGGGTTTGGCTTGCTAATTAATACAAAGGGTATGAAAAAGGGAGAAAATACGGATAACTCCTCAACCTTTGTATCTCGGGGATTTCTGAAAGTGGGGTTGATGGCATCCAGCAGTGGGGGGAGTGTTCTGTTTTGGCCATGTCTGCTTTGAGGTATGTCTCATGAGATAGCGATGTTGTCATGCCTGGAAGGCCATTGGCTAAATGGGTGTGGAGTTCTGAGCTAACAATGGAAGTGTGGGAGGCACGGTCCATCTAGGAGCGTGCAAAAATGCCAACCAGAGAGCCCGAGCACGACCAGGCGCACTCCCGGAAGAACCCATAGACAGAAGAGACTCAGGAAGAAAGGCAGCAAGAGGGAGGGAAAGCTCGGAATCCCTGGAGGAAAGGAAGAGGCCAACCAGTCGGTGCTGCCGGCAAAGGAGAAGGGGGGGAGGGCCTCTGACAGTGGTTAAGCGCTTAACTACCAGTCTTAAGGTTAGTGGTTCAAACCCAACCAGGGGCACCTCTGAGGACATGACTGGCTATGTGCTCCTGAACCCTACAGCATGGTTTTACTGTACACCAGCGATTCTCAACCTGTGGGTCGTGACCCTTTGGGGGGGGCGGGTGTCAAACAACCCTTTCACAGGGGTCACCCTATTCATAACAGTAGCAAAATTAGTTATGAAATAGCAACAAAAATAATTTATGGTTGGGGGTCACCGCAACATGAGGACCATATGACACGGTTGCGGCACGAGGAAGACTGCGAACCACGCTCTGCACACGTGCGATAGCCTTGAGCCAGGTCTGACTGGACAGCACGGAAAAGTCCTTCCAAGCCCCTGCTCTGGTCTAGAATTTTCAAATTCTCAAATTCCGAACATCAGAGTTAGTCTGGCACCCCTGTTTTGGGACATGCAACAGATTCTTATAACGCAGTCATAACTTGTGGTGGCAAATGGAAATAAAATATTCAAATATGATTGAGACCAAAGACAATTTTTGGGGATGATTATTTCTGGAGGGAAAATGAGAAAAACTATAGCAGAAACAAGTGTCCATAGCTAACTTGAGATGTTTATACAAGAAGTGATATGTGAGAAACGTGTAATGACCACTTAAGACATACAAAACCCCATAAGAGGCCTAGGGACTTATATAAGCAGTGTGCAGCCCAGCAAGGGAGACAAACAAGTGTAAAAGTTACCAAGTGCAGCTTCTTTGTGGTAGACACTGTTCCGGTTGCTTATGAGAGGTAACTCGGTTCTTCCTCAGCAACTCCGTGAGGTAGTTACTGTCGGCTTCTCCTTTTGCACAAAGAGCTCCGGTCTCAGCATAATTGCATTAGAAGGTTGGACGTTGTTAGGTGCTGTGATGGGCAACCTTCAAATGCCAGTTCCCTTCCGTGTGTGTGCATACTGTGGAGCTGACTATTCAATGGGCTTTCCAAAATGCCGTCTCCAACCAAATCGAGGTGGCTGCCATCTGCTGTCCATTGTCGTAGACCTTCCAGGTGAGGCAGTGTGGCCAGCGAGTCAGTTGTTCATCTCAGCAGCTCCTGTGTGTCTCCACCATTTAGGAACCTCAGCTCTGCGGGGGAGGAAGCCCGGAAGCAAATGCGATCCTGTGAGGGCCTGGTGGACTCGCTGTTGTACGTGATCCACACCTGTGTGAACACATCTGATTACGACAGCAAGGTCAGTGCTTGGCTGGTCGGTCCTGTGAGAGGCGTGATAGCAGGTGACAGCGCTGCCCCGAGCTACACTATGTATGTTGCAATTGTCCCCTGCCCTAGCAAAGTGCAACCAAGTGGGTGAGTTTTGACAACAGAATTTGTATCTCCATTCTGGGAGCCAGAAGTCTGAATTCAGGGTGCTAGCAAGGCCACGTTCTATCCAAAAGCCAATGGGGAATGGTCCTTTCCCGTCTCTCGGTTTCTGGCATCCAGGTATCCCCTGGCTTGCAGATGCATCTCCCCAGGACCAGCCTTCCCTGTGCTGCTTCTCTTTCATAAGGGTACCGCTCGGATGGGACCCCTGTTAACTGAAAAGCGCATTGCTGTCGAGAGCAACTCCGCCTCATAGTGACCCTGTCGGACAAAGTAAAATCGCCCCATAGGCTCCCCAAACTGTAAATCTTAGGGAAGCAAACTGCCAGGACTTTCCTTCTCAGAATGGGAGGTGAGTTCAAACCACTGACCTTTTGATTTTCAGACAAGCATTTAACCATTGCACTTGCCTGCAACTTGCTTTTGGCTGATAGCAAGATCCTATTCCAAAACAAGATTACTTTTCACAGTTGAGAGGGGTTAGAACTTCAGCATATCTTTCTGGAAGGCTATGAATTGTTACAACAGCAGAAAGCCTCCTCTTTCTCCTGAGGAGCATCTGGTGGATTTGAACCATGGCCTCACATCCAATCATTATTTCACCAGGCTCCTTTCAAAAATAGCTTTAGGACCTTCACACGGAGTGACTCCATGTTGTAACAGGGCCCAGATGGGGTGGCAGGGACCTGGCTCTCTGTGATTTCCAAGGTTCATTCGAGCCTTTAGTCCCTGTAGCTATTTCTTCCCATTCTGAATCCCCGACTCCTAGAATTGAATTCATCTGTATCTGTGCATCTGCTGAATAAAAGTTCTTGGTTGAGGCAGGGTACTCCCTCCAACCTCTCTCTTCTGATGACCACCACTGGTAGTCCACCCCTCCCACCCTAGCCCCACCTTTCTCATGCACCTCTAGTTAGCCCCAACCTGTGCCCTCATCATGCCCCTCCGTTGCCCTGCTGGTCGGTCTGTTCCAGCAGGAGCCCTTTACTTTCTCCTTCCCTGTGCTAGCACGGGCAGCGCGCCCGGCACTTCTCGACCGTGACAAGGATCTGGAATCTGCAGAGGAATCGGGAAGGAGGAACTGTCTCAGGAACTCAATAGCACAGTGGTCAGGATGGGTTGGCTTAGAAGAGGCCACCAGTAGATGTCGGGTCGAAAAGATGAAGCTGAGCCAAAAAGGATGGATGCTGCTGAGTAATAAGTTCAGGGATAAGGGGGAGGAGGGCTTCAAGGTGACAGCCAGGTTCCTGCTCGAGCCCTACTGACCCAAAAGATCTGCCACTTGAACTGGAGATTGCTGGGCAAACATGAACTTGGATCCAAATAGAATGAGTTGAAGTGACAGTTGGCCTTTAAAGGAAGAAGAGATCCTACTCAGAAGGCAGAATGCAACAGAGCAAGGAATCCTAGTGCATCCCACAGAGGGAGGAGAGGGCTGTGAGAGCGAAGGAGCTAGCAGCTGGGTAGGGCTATCCCCAGGGAGAGAGCTGGTGGCACTTCTTGTCACATGGATGGTCCACAGTAGCAGGAGGTAGTTAGGTTCTGGCATCCTGGGCACATTTCTGCCCCTGCAGCAGCCCTGCAGCAGAAACACTGAGCATGTAATCTTTCAGCAATTGAACATTTTATCAGCATAAAACCAGACCTAAACATGTACAAAGATGATTGTGCACCTGGTCTGAGGGGTACTCAGAAAAATTGGAATCTTAATTCTTTCTGTAGATATTTTTTCCGCTCCCCTTAAGTAAAAAATAGTTATTTCCTCGTCTCCATTTGTTTATTATCAGTAGCTGTCAGACAGAAGCCTTTTCCATTGATGTGCTGTAATGATTTTAATTATACGCTGTGTTGGGTTTCAGACAGTGGAGAACTGTGTGTGCACCCTGAGGAACCTGTCCTATCGGCTGGAACTGGAAGTCCCTCAGGCCCGGCTGCTGGGGCTCAACGAATTGGATGACTTACTAGGAAAAGAGTCTCCCAGCAAAGACTCGGAGCCAAGCTGCTGGGGGAAGAAGAAGAAGAAGAAAAAGAGGACGCCACAGGAGGATCAAGTTAGCATTTTATTTGACCTGAAACTAACGTGTCATGTTTCGGGTGTAAGAAATCACATACTTGGCAGCAAACAGATTCCCCTGTATCTGAGTCCAGACATGGAGATGTTCAAGTACTGCCTCTCGTGTCCATTTGCTTCCGTTTCATGTGTGCTGTTTGGTTTGTCTTTCAGTGGGATGGAGTTGGTCCTATCCCAGGGCTGTCTAAGTCCCCAAAGGGGGTTGAGATGCTGTGGCATCCATCGGTGGTGAAACCATATCTGACTCTTCTAGCAGAAAGCTCGAACCCAGCCACCTTGGAAGGCTCTGCTGGCTCTCTCCAGAACCTCTCTGCTGGCAACTGGAAGGTAGGAGATCCTCCACTTGTCCACACTTCTTGGGATCTTTGAAGCCAGTCAGATGGGCTATGAAACGAACACGGTTGCTTAGACATGGTCTAGGCCAAGGGTAGGTACTAGAGAGAGAGAGAGCAGCTGTTGTTTCTGGGTGCCCAAAGATAAACATGACCTATTCCCTGACTCACTGGAAGGCTAGTGAGAAAAGCGGATTGCCCGGACTGTGCCAGAACCGCAGGACCTGTGTGCTACAGCAAAGGTGCAGGGAGATAGAAAGCTTCTGAAGGAGGAGCGCTACCCAGAGGGAAGCTTCCAGGAAGACATGAAATCAGCAGTAGAATCTTAGGTTGGGCTCAGCAACCAAACCAGAAGGAGGCCAGGAGGTGAGGAGAGGGTAGCATGGGCCATGGTCACTGAAGCTTAGAGGGCAGGTCAGGAGCAGCCCGGGTAGCTAGGCTACTGGCCCAGAAAGATGAGCTGTAGGCGAGATGGGCCACTCCAAGGGCTTAGGCAGACGAGTGGCATGGCACGTCTGATGTGCAGCGTCAGCCAGTCCCCTTCTGTGGCAGAGCAGAGACCGGGAGAACGGAATTCCATTTGGGATGCAGTGCAGTTCTGAGGCCAGAGATGACGGACGAGGGCCTGGGGCGCACCGGAGCTCGAGCAGCACTGCCAGGGGCAGAGAGGAGCCGCTGGTGCCTCCCTCCTCTCTTCCCAGGACTGTGCACAGACGGAGCGGCTCCAGACAATCCTGCAGACCCTTCACGATCTTTTCTTTTGAGATCTCCGTAGCCTCTAGGGACTTCTTTGCTTCTTTACCCACCGGTAGCAGTTGAAGGACGTTTCCGTTTTTTAAATAAGTTCTTTCAAAATTGTTAAGCATTATCTAGCAACATTCCAGGAACTCCTTTTAAAAAATAGTTCCAACTTCTGTAAATTTCCTGTGTATTTTATTAGAAATCTAATGTCTGTTTGTTTGGTTGGTTTTTTTCTCTTTGGCTGCCAGCCTCATCACCGTTCCCCCAAATGAGAGAGAATTGGTGGCAATTCTATTATCCATGATGAAGAACAGCATTGCTAAGCTGAGTTAGTTTTGGACTAATGCTAAGTCACAGTGGTTATCCTTTATTTCGTAATTAAAACTCTACAGCTTAGTGGCTAAGCACCGACTCTGAAGCCAGACAGTCTCTCTTGAGGACCTTAGAAGCAATAGCCTCTCTGTTCCCAGTTTCCTCCTCCATGAAATGAAGGTATAAAAATACTTCATGATATGAAGAGCTTGGTTTTTTTTAAAAAATAACTTAATATAAAATGGTTGACAGAGCCTTCGTGGCACTGTGGGTAAGCATTGGACTGCTAACCTGGAGTTCAGCGGTCAAACCCCCCAGCCACTCCACAGGAGGAAAACTCACAGTCTCTGAAACCATAAGGAGCAGTTCTACTCTGTTCTGAGCATCAGTGAGTCTAAACAGCACTCTGGTCACTGGGTCAGGAGATGCTGGTGAGGATTGAATGAGGTGAGAAATGAGGAGAACCTACGACAGGCCCGACACATGTAAATGCTTATTGTAATAGCCCCCGTCTTCACTTTCAGCTGCTGTTAACCTGAGGATCACTTGATAATTTTTAAAAAGACAATAATTACAGTAGAGGTGATTAAGGGTTCTTTAGATTTTCATTTCTGGGGCCATTTAGTGAATGAAAAAATTAGCTGGTAAGTTCATTTAAAATATAAACGTTTAAGTGATTTGGAAAGCATACGAAATAGTTTATCAAAAACAGGACCCTCATTAAGAAAGCCAGATCATCCTAACCACAGGTGCCATCAAGTCGGGCTGTTTGGGGACAGTGCTGACCGCAGAGATCCAGGGAAGAGATGAGACGCCCAGGGGAGGTGGGAGGGAGGGAGGTGGCTCTGGTGCAGGTCAGGAAGGGAGTTGGTAAACCCACCTTAGTGTACTTCACCGCTGTACTGAGCCATTTCACTTGAGTTGGAAAGTCTGTTTCATATAAAGGACCTTAACAGGCCTTTGAAACGAGTCTTTTCCTTGGACTTGAACTATTAAGATAAGATACCCAACAGATAGCACATACTTCAGTGTTCACTGAAGGACTGGGAGATCTTTGTTCTTGGGACTTGACCACAACAGGAAAGTATCAGATGTCTTACGAACATGTGTCAATTCTCCTAAATTTTGAAAATCGATCTGATCTTCACCGGCGAGCACATCAATGAGAGCCCCTAACGCGATTGCAGACCGTTTTCTGATGTGGCGTGGGGGTGGGGGTTTCACTGTTGACTTGGAGCTCATTTCCAGTTCACAGACGCTCGCTGTACTGTCCAGAGGTGCCTTATAATGATAAAAGGATTTGACAGCTAGATGTCAAATAGAATAATCAGCTCCCATATCTTGAATGTGAAAGTATTTTGCACACAGATACACTTACTCTCCCATCAGTGTGTATGAGTTACGATGCTTGGTGTTTCTGGAGAATTCCCTTTCTTCTGAGGCAAGGGGTTTTTTCCCAAGCAATCTTTCTGACAGGTTGCTGAAATATAAATTTTGTTGCAGGGAAGCTAGAGGGGAAAATGTCTTGGCAGACACCGGCTTGCCTTTAATGTGTGCTGATCGGTTACTGTCTCTGCCTGCCTATTTTAAGCCTCTGGACCTGGCGTGGTGCCAACTGCAAAGACAACACATGATCTTTCCTTAATCACGTTTATGTAGCTAAGGTAGAAAGTAATCACTGTCTTCTCCTTTCTGCACAAAAAAATATCTGGCAGATGGTAGCTTGAGATTTCCAGGCTTTGGGGTTTTTGCTTCTAAATCAATCATCCTGTCCTTTCTTCCAAACTGTGGTTTTCTCTTTACTGACATCACAGATTTTAATCTCCAATTGGAAGAAAAACATCTAATCTAGTCATCTGTTTTCACACTTCTTTTTCGTTTGTTTCAAAGGCTGCAGTTACGTCACAAAAAACGGTCCTCTGTTTTATGTACCACTGACGGCCTTCTTCTGCTCTCCAGTTTGCAGCGTACATCCGGGCGGCGGTCCGAAAAGAAAAAGGGCTCCCCATCCTTGTGGAACTCCTGAGAATGGATAACGATAGAGTCGTTTCTTCCGTGGCAACCGCCTTGAGGAACATGGCGCTCGACGTCCGCAACAAGGAGCTCATAGGTAAGTCCTAATGAGACGGCGCGCTGCGAGAGGACACAGGTCACGTGAGTTGGCATGGACCCGATGGCAGTGAGTTATAAGGAGACAGTAACTACAGGGTTGACAGTCCTGTCTGGGGCTTTTTGTTTGTTTTTGTTTTTTTTAAATAGAAATAAAACGACATTTAAAACCATGAACAAGGGAGTCCTAGTCCCCAATTGCGTGGCGTACTTGGCTCCTTTGGGACCAAGTTTTTCAGCAGGAGGCAGGCTTACTAGCTAAAGCATTGCTCAGAGAAGGGACATGTTAAGAAATGCTTGTAGTTTGCAGTGCAACACCACTCGTGAGAGTCTGTGTCTCTCTGTCCAAAGAGAGTTAAACTTCCTGAGCTACAAAACAATCTTTGTTTCCCCTCCCTGTTTTTGAGACTACTATCTGCTAATTCACTAACACGACCCTGTTCTCAATTAAAACAGAGTACACGTTAATGACTTGTAACTTTTCCCTCTCTAGCCCCTTGGAATGCCCACCCAAGAGTGAGAAAGATCCCTTCCCCAGTCCCTTTCCACCCCGGAGCAGCAAGGCAGAGTCAGAGGAGGAAACCCTAGCACATGAACGTCAAGGAGGCACCCACTCTCAGGTTTCTGCACGTGTAGGACTGGCACTTGCATGCACTTAAAAGTGAGTGCCTCCTTGAATTTGCACTCTACGCAGCTTGCTTGCCTTGCCAGTGTCCCAGGCATTGTCTCAGCCCACGCAGAAGATAGAGAAAAGACTGATAACCTTTATGTAGACCTTGGATTCAACCCTAGATCTGCTCCCAGTCTTTGTTACCTGGGCAGCCTATATAACGCACCTTGGCTCAGTTCCCTCCCTAGACCGAAAGTGAAAGGTAACACTTACTCAACCCCATCCTGGAAAGGGTGCCAATGATGTCTGCTGCCCTAAGTATGGGTTAGCCAGCATGAAGCACTCCCTTAAAACTGCCAAGTGCCACACTGTTCCCATTACTGTGACCCGTATATGGGGGAAATGCTGGTGACAGCTTAGGGAAGAGGTTTGACAAGCGTGTGTATGAATTTACAGTTTGGGGGGACCAAGGTCAACTGGCATAATATAACCCACAAAGGCAGTATTTGGCCTCATGCTTTGGTGAGTAGGGACGCGGGACGCGGGTCTTAAAAGCTTGTGAATGACCATCCAGGGCGCAGCTATCGGTCTCTCCCCTCTGCAGGACAGAAGAGGGGTGAAACTAAAAGGCACGTGGGCACCATAGTGGGGTACACACACCTAAGATTCATCAGCCCTTCAGAGCGAAAGGGCAGCATTCCCCAAGAACAAGCTTCAGGGGGATTCAGAAGGAAGGAAGAACGGAAACAGAAACACAGGGACAAAATGGTGTGGGTCATAAGACACTGAGTGGACTGTAATCAGTGAGATGAAACGTAATGTATGCAAACTCTTGATGATTGGTCTGCTCTGTCAGCCTTTCCGCAATTCATAATAAAAAGTTTTGTTTTTTTTAAGCATTATATGGACTGGCGTGAATATATCCTGAGCCTGTCTAAAATGCTCCTGTCAGATGAGCTCGGAGAGGGGAGACTGGAGGAAGAAGAAGAGAAAGCAGTGAGGTTTCCCACAGAGAACTGCTGTGAGAAGTAAATGTGGGGGCTCACGGGCCTGTCACCCAGTCCGGACACAGAGTCTGCCCCCAAATAAAGCTGAACTCCATGTCTGGTCTGAACACAGTGTCCCTTTGAGCCAGAGCTTCCCCTGTGGAGAGGACAGGGTCCTATCCCACTTCCTGTTGACGTGTTACCACTCTTAGTGCCCACAATTTTCTGAGAGAAATTCTTCAGGGCCCTAAGGAGTTGTTGTTTTGTAATGATTTCTCCAGGCACTTGATTTCTCTTGAGAAGCATGTGAAATTTGGAGGTTCTTAATTTGGCTTGCCCTTCTACAACTAGAAAAAAGATACCAGGTGGTATAGAAGGAGCAGGGCCAGTGCTACCAATTCCTGACTGGCACTGGAGCTGTGCCCCAAGACTATAGGATCAGGGGTGTGCAGTTTTTGTTGGTGAGTAGTCAGCCTGGACCAGCCCACCTGTCTGCAGCTACAGGTGCCGTGGGCACCACCAGCAGAGTGAACTGCCTCAGCAAAACACCTTTTGGTCATTCCAAAGTCCTAACAATCGCGGCGCTGACTTTCCAGCCCAGGTCTCGGGGTGGCACGAGCAGTTTGCAATGGATTGCTACTCCAAAGGCTGACAGTGAACCGCTCGCTAGCCCCCTTAGAAGAAAGGAAGGTCGGCGATCTGCTCCATGGAAGATCACAGCCTCACCACCCTGATGGAGTAGTTCTGCTCTGTGGCACGTAGGCGCTCCGCAAGTCAGAGTCAGCAGGACGGCAATCAGCTTGCTTTGTTTGCTTTTAACTCATCATCTGTCTTAGTTACCTAGTGCTACTAACCAAAAGCAATTCATTCTCTCACAGTTTAGGAGGCTAGAAGTTTTCTCTCTGCCTGCTCCTGGCCTCCTTTCCACATCTGTGGGCCTAGGGTTCCGTGGGTCTCGCCGTGTGTATTGGCATCACTCGTTCCTGCGTGTAGCACACTTCCAGTGCGGGGACCGTGTAGCTAAAGGACTTGGATCCATGTCCACTTCTTTCTTGGTGGTCGTAAGTGCCTCTAAGCTCTGTTCACTTAGTTCATCTCTTTTATATCTCAAAAGAGATTGATTTACGATACACTCTAATCCTGTTGATTACATCTAGCCGCATTAACATCCTAGAAGTTGGGATATATGCCACATAGAATTATTACATCAGGTGGCAAAATGGAAGAGAATTACATGTACTGAAAATCCTGGGCTCACCGGGTGGCCATATATTTGGGGCAGGGAAACACAGTTCATCTAGCAGACCGTCTCTTTCCCAATTCCACCTCGGCCTTCTGTCCTTACCGGGGCATCAGCTGCTCTCTGCGCTGCATGGTAGTGTTGGCTGTGCTCTGCCAGAGTCTCCCTGTGGACACATGCTGTCAATTATGTAGGCATGTTGTCAGGGCTTGTCTCCTCCTGCTCGCCATTGTGTATAAAGAGCTCTTTAATAAAAACCCATTTACCATCCACTCAATTATTAGCATGGGGGCCAGGGGGAGAGGCACTAAGATAATATTTACTTGAGCTTGTGTTAATTCCTTTTGTTTGTAGTGTAATTATTCCAGTTTGTCAGTTGGTAATTGAAACTGATAAAGCTAGAGAGAATCTTTCTCTGGAGAGGAGTAAGAGAAATAGAGTTTCTATAATAAAATGCTTCAATATTTAAGGTACTCCTCCCAGTCATGTCTTCTCAAGAACTTTATTATTATTGCATTACTCCTAAGTGATAGCATAGCCATATTTTTTAATAACAAAATGCTGCTTCTGTTTCTTTTAAAGCAGCACCTCCCAGCCCTGGGGGGTCTAACGACCCTTTCACAGAGGTCACCAGATTAATAACAGTAGCAAAATTACAGGTATGAAGTAGCAACGAAAATAATTTTATGGTTGGGGGTCACCACAACATGAACTGTACGAAAGGGTCACGGCATTAGGAAAGTTGAGAACCACTGTGTTAAAGAAACTAGGATGTGGCTATATCCATAACATCACACTGGCTGTGGTCCGCATGCCCACAGCTCGGTAAATTTTGTAACTGTACCCAGCTCACACCGAGTCCTGAAAGATTTGATGAGCATTGTTATTTGGTAACTTTACTTGGTCCAAATCCAACAAGACGTTTTAAAACGGGAGGGGCTCATGGCATCTGTGGCCCGTGTAGTTGTTAGTTGCCGTCCAGTCAGCTTTGACTGACAGCGACTCCGTGTGTAGCAGAATGAAACCCTGCCCAGCCCTGGGCCGTCCCCACAACCATGGTTAGTTTGAGCCCCTTGTGGCGACCACTGGGTCAGTCCACCTTGTCGAAGGTCGCTACCCGTCTCCTTCACCAAGCACGGTGTCCTTCTGCAGGACTGCTTTCTGCTGATGGCATGTCCAAGTCTTCCCGTTCTTGCTTCTAAGGAGCATTCGGACCCTACTTCTTCCAAGACAGACCCCTTTGTCCTTCCGACAGTCCGTGGGTCTTTCCGTGTTCTTCCCTAGCACCATAGCTCAAACACATCGGTTCTTCTTCAGTCTGTGTTCAATGTCCCACTTTCACAATATGAGATGGTTGAAACCCTATGGCTTGGATCAGGTGCACCGTCGTTTGTGACTTGTAGGAATGCGATGAAGAGTAAACTTCATTACATTTCCTTTACGTCCCTGTTATTGAACATGGCTGAGCTAAAGCAGCTTGACTGGCATTCCTAGTCTGGGGCACTGGCTGACTTCTGG